ATATCTAAAAGTGTAAAAGCATGCTGACTTCATCAAGAGGAAAACGAAAAATCCAAAACTGAATAATCAACAAAGGCATTATAAAAAAAAGTACAAAAAAATTTCAGCAAGGAAAGGAGTTGTATGCTACTTCAAACATAATGAAGACTCCTTTAAAATACATGAACTGGACTTAATATTGAATCATGCCAAGCCAGGTGAACTTTGCAGTTGATAGGAATTGTAATCCAAGCAGGTGTAAATCATGGGTGAAGCAAACGTCCACTTATGAACAGGTTGGCCAAGCCTGAGTGCCAAGTGCAGACAAATAGAATTGTACTAGGAAAAACTGCACCTTTTGCATCTTCATGCATGTGCACCCACACAAAGCACTTATTTAAGACCATATAATCAATTATTTCAAGCCAGGACAACAGTTTTAATATTTGATACAAGTTCTCTGCTAAATTGGGTCTTTAGTTATTTTCAGAAGGGGGTTTTGTTTGGTTTTCTTAAATCATTTCACCTCTTTACCTTTCTCTATAGGGAGTGCAGAATCTCATGGTCTGCATTTCAGAAAAAAATACTTTGCAACTCTGGGAAACAGCTTTACTGTGGCATGTAAGTAACTACTGCTAATAAGGAGAAAAACACATATGGTGGCATTAATTTTACTTTAGAAGTAGAAATGGTAAAAATATTTCACAACATACTGACTGGATGTGGTAAAAAGAACTTCCTACAGTTATAATTTTCTTTGACTCTATTTACCATAGCAAAGGCATCGTTTAAAATGCTTTTCACACATCCAAATACTGAATTGATTGCTGTAGTGATGTGTTTCAAAGAATTACAAAAATGTTTTGACTATAAATGTCAGTTTAGTTATGTAAGTCTTTAAAACACATCCTTTGTCCCTTCTGTGTAAGTCAATTAAAGTGTTTCCCAGGCAGAAATACTTTCTTGAAACAAGTCCTTGAAAGAAAACGCACACCCCCACATTATTTTTAACCTGCCTTCTCTCTTCTAAGTCTCTGTAAGTGTTTATAAGACAAGTCTAGGTTTGAGATGTTGATGTGGTTCTACTTAGTCCTTTTGAAGTATTGAGTGCTCAGTACCTGAAACAGTATTTAGAAGCATAAAAAAAAAAAACAAACAAAAAAACTGAAAGGACAAGGCAGCCTTGCTCTTAATTTGTGATACTGCACTTCAAAGAAACGTGTGAGTTCAAGAGTACCACCATGGAAACCAGCTAGACCATGGTGAGGAGCATAACTGTGTACCTAACTGCATCAAACGTGATTTCCTTTTCAGAAGAAAGTGTGTAACTGTAAACCATCTCACTCATGGTAAAGCCATGTAAGGAATACTTACTAGCAAGTGCCTAATTTGTTGTAAGGCAGATGTATAACTTTGCAAAAATATATTTCGCCGGGGGTTTTAAACCCGCTGGTTTTGCCCGGGAAGAAAACAGCCCCAGCGGGACCCCCGTATTACCTCCAGGGTGGTCGTCAGCGAAGAGGAGGGCAGTGGCGAGTAAAGGAGGGATGGGCAACGATCGCTTTCTTCCAAAATAAAAGGTTTTAATAACATGAAAATAACAAACAAAACCACCTGAGGCAGGCACTGAAACAGCACCCACCCCAGGGGAGAAGTGAAAGAGCATGTGGCCTTGGGGCCAGGGGTTTTTAACAGGTTGGTAGGTGGGTTTACAAAGGCATTGTCCTGTAAGGATACATGGATGGGTTACCAACAGGTCAGGGGTCCAATGGGTGTTAGGGGATTGGTCTTGTGGTGGCTAAGCCAACCACAACCTGGGAAAGGTGGAAAATTCTGGACGTGTGCCCATGTCTGGGGAAAAAGAGGCAACAGAAACCTCTGTCTCCAGGAGGCGCACTGCAACACAGATGCTATTTACTTGCTTATTTAAATTTATGTTCTACTGTGGAACAAAGATTAACTACATTGGTAGGCTAGGTGTAGTTAGCTGATGCTCACATTTGAACTTTGGGGTTTTTTTTAGTACTGTCAGCATTTTTTATCTCATAATTTAAATGACACATGGGAAAACATGAAGCAGTAGATGGAATTTGTATTTCTAAAACAGAAATTCAGAAACAGAAACTCATATTTCTACAGTAGAATCATGAGCAATTCATCACGAAAAATAAACAAAATTACACTTGAGCCATAAGAGCAAACCATTCGTACCTTGTACATTCTAAAGAATGATTTCAAAAAACCAAGATATTTATATAAACTGATAGTGAAAGTTATTGCTAGATTTTTCTTAATATCATATTCCTATCAGATAGACACATATGTCCACATTTCATGAACAAATAAACAAATTATTTTTAATTCTTCTCTAATCTAGCAAAATACATGATTTCTTTTAGAGCAGTATAGGCAAATGATGGCAAGACAGTTAATGAAGGAGGAATAATTTGAAAGGAAGTGGTTATGAATACTTGAAACAAGTGTAGACCTCAATTTAGCAAAGCATTTAAACTTAAAGAGTACTTCACTGAATTGGGGGTTAGGACTATAATGAAATTATTGCAATTAAGACTGGACTCATTCAGATCTAGTAAGCACCTACTTATAAAGGCAGCTATAAAATTAAGCAGCTTCAGTGAAAATCTTTATTAACCATTCCTTATTTTTCTCATTATAATACAATGCAAATTTCAACTTGAGAAGCTTGCAGTGTTCAGAGCGATACAGAGAATAGAATTCCCTGAAGTCCTCAGTGAGACACACAGAAAATGAAAGGTTTAATGAGGTGGGAATGCAGTGGAAGGGGGAAAGGGTAGAAGTTCTGTAACCTAACAGTATTTAGCAGCCAGGAGATATCACTCATGTCATTCGTGCTCTGTGCTAGCAAAAGCCCATCTATCCAAGAGTCAAAGCTTCACAAAACAGCAATACTAACATAAAATCTGTTTACTTTCTAGTATCAAAGTGAAATGAAATTAGATACCACATGTTCTTGCCCAAACCTAGCAGCCTTTCTCTGATCACACATATATTTCAAAAGGTTTCCAACCCTGTATCAAATGGCATCTACTCTGTTCACTGTGTCTGTCTACAGACCTGAAAGACACACACAACAGCACGCAATCAACCCTCATGTCATTCATTAGGACAGCATAAGCCTGCTGTTCCCTTTTCTTCATACGTCAGTTTTCCCTAAGTGAGGAAAAGATTGAGAAATAAACCTGATATAAACATAAAGGATGCCTGTTCAATGTGGGCCAAGGAGTTTAAGGCATAATTTGTGTGATCATGACGTAGACATAGTCATTAAGAGAAGATATATAGCGCAGACTCTTCCAGCCATACTGAATAACTGTCCAAGGATTAGAAGTGGAACCTATGGTGCAGACGTCCATGTCCGGTGACATGATACCCACTTCTACTCTTTTTAACACTAGATGCATTGCCCCAGTTATAACACAAATAACTCCCTCCCCTCCACCACAACCCCCTGAGTTTTACATCTGTACAATAACTGCTCAACAGTCATAGTTTTCTGAATTATGATCAGGATTAGGGGGATTTCATTTTCTGTGACTTGCCAGACAGTCCTTCCCATTCGTTCACTTCATGCCTGTGTACTCCTTCTCTTCTGTAAGATGTGTTCAGGTGTGCAGCACTTAGCAAGTGTGCCCTTACAAAGCATTACTACACAGCCTAGTATAATTCAGATCCTTTTTTAGCTTCATGGCATATCAGCATAAAGAAAACAACGAATAGACAGTAGCACTGAGCAATCCCTCTGGTTCAGCCAAAGGAAACAAGCTTTCACACCCAAGAAAGGCAAGAAGTTATCATCTTTTCCTCTGTTCAAAGTGTCAATGATACCTAAACTGAATTTGAAGAAAAATATATTATTTTTGTTAATGCTAGCTGGTATTAAAATTTAACTGCCTAGGTGTATATTATGCTTAGTTTTCATCTGAATCTATTCCCTTGCTTTCGGTCTTATGATGACCAGAAACAAATGTTCACAAAAAATCTGGGAATAAATATGTTCATTAAATTAAAAAACAAACAAACAAACAAAAAAAAACCAAAAACAAAAAACCCCCACACTGTGTATTTTAAACAGACTATTCCATCTTTACAGTACTTTGAACACAATAGAGGGACAGTACAGAAAGTTAAATACCTCCAGAAGGCAACCTGGACCTTGTATTGAGATTAATTACTTTGTAAGAAATTCTTGCTCTAGTCACTTTGAAGATGGCTACTTTATCTTCATCCTTTACGCCAGGAATAAAAGCACAACTAAATTAGCAGCCTCCAGTCAGGTGACCTGAATCCCTCTCCTTCTTTAACAGGGATTAACTTCTCCCCGTGTTAACAAGGGCTTGATGCCCTTCAGCAGTCTCTGTAAGTTTTGCCCTCCCCCCTTCCTTTTTCCTTTTTCTTTTTCCCCATTGCTCAAGCTTCTCACAAACACAAAGATTTGCTTTAAGTGTTAACAATTATTACGAATACCACGTCGGACTGTTAATCAAAGAAAAAAGAACCAGCAATAAAATATTCTACTGTTTAGCTAGAAAGATGAAAAATGTGTTCCTGAAGTTATGGAATAGGGCATCAGGTTTTGGTCACCTGCAGGAAACAAGAGCATTATTTTATGTCATCATGTAAATACAGATATTCATAAAATAAATACTTACCACTGTTTTTGTCTCTTTAAAAACAAAGATATGAGAATATGTTTTAGGTTTTGAATTTTCTCTTCTTTTTTTCCCCAGAAAGCAATTTAATAAAAAACACTGTCTCTGTTACGGTGGTTTGCAAATACAAAACACCCAAAAGAAACCAAAATAGATATTGCTGAAATTGCATTATGCCTCTCTGTGGTGCTCTGAGCGATTTTTAGTATGGTGAGAAGGAAATGTTTCCTTAAAACTACAGAAATAAAGGCAGCTATTATACTCTTAGGTTATTTCAATACTATATTAACTCTAATAAATTTAGGTAACCATAGTGAAGTAAAAGCTTACCTTAAAGATCAAATCCTTTTTCCCATATCGAAGCTCTTTCAGCTGGGCTTGGATCTTTTTTGACTGAAAGTGAGCATAATAAAATTGGGGAGGGAGGGGTATTTTAGATATTTACTTTTAAGATCAGGAAAAACATAACAAGTTCTGACAAGAGCAAAAATTAGATCAGCTTGAAAATGCAGAAAAATAACCAAAATCAATGTCAATTGCTTTTCCAGGGTAGCATGTCTAAACCAGGCAAAAATACTGAGGAAAATGTGAAATGGCACTCACCTAAGGCACGCACAGGAGTTAGTACTGTTGCAAATAGTTTTTTTTGGCTTACATGAGATGCAATTAATACTTCCCATGAAGCATAACTGAAGGTATCACTTTCCAAGTAAACAATCTTCTTTTTCTTAGAGGAAAAAAGGTGCCATGCCATTGCACAAGTTCTTCTTTGTAATCACCAAGGAGTTCCAAGTGGCATCTAAATGAGCTAGGTTCTCAGGTTGTGACCATGTCCTCTAAAATAAGCACAGTTATGCTGACTTATAAAAGCTTAGGCTGATACATATTTTCAGCTGTAAAATTTATCTTTGAAATAATTTTAAGTAATGATCTATACATTCTTTTATTTCAACAAAATGTAACAGTTTGGATTTTTTTTTTCAAGCTACACTCAACTATGCATGCAGCATTATTTCATCCTTTATCTAAGAATCCTATCAACATAGTAATTTTTCATAAAATCCACAATCTTAACAGATATTCAATAAACTTTCCTGCATTATTCAATGCCAAATGTTTAGAACTCCTTGGAATAGATTAGAAATCTCTTCCACATTTACTGAAACAGCACATCATATTACAGATAGTAGTATATCTTTCAAGAATTGGAGCTTTTAGAAGGGTTTGATGTCTCTCCAATTGGCACAGTCAAATTCAGTGACAGACTTTTGGGAAGGATGAATGCATCCATAGATAAAATTTTAGAACCTGCTTTGAATATTTAAGAAGTAAGGCCAAACCTGTTATTGTGTTTCATAAAATCTGAAAGAGAGAGACAAGCTCAGTTCAGTGCAATTCTTTCTCCTGTAACTAGATCTGTTGCTAACGCTAATAGCACTGTCCTCTGATCTGGTCAATGCAGTCTGTAGAGGTGTGAAATGTATTCCACATCAGATAAAATCCAATGAGAAAATCTTAACCCACTTTAATTTTTCCAGGAGCTATACTTAAGAAAATACACAATCTCTGTGACATAAAAAATATCCAAAATGGCTATAGAGGAATCTAAGTGACAATTAAGATACTACTCATCTGCTAAATCACAAATACGTGATGAAATTAAGACTTGTAGAGCTAAATGTACTCAGTGCAAAATACAAGTGATTCAACAGTATGTATATTCTTTGTGATAAAATTTAGTTGTTTTGTGGTTTTACTGCTCTCCTAGGGGGAGGACTTACAAAACTGACACCTTGTAGTGCAGCCAGCCAGATAAGATACAAGTAATTAAATACAAGTTGATAGTGATCTCTCAGCCACAGCACAGCATCTGGGAGTATTTCCCTGGCACGTGCCCCTTTCCATGTCCTGGGAAGCCTGAGGTTTGCACTGCTCTGCCTTACTCTCTCCAGGGCTCTGAACTGTTGGAGAAGATAACCCAGATGTGTGAGGACCATAAGCATACTCCCATCTACACAACTGCTCAAGAAGGAATCACAGGGCTCACTAGAATAGTTTGCATGCAGCCTGAGAGTAGAATGATTCAGGATCTTCCTGGTAGGCAATTCTACCCACAGAAGGTTCTTGACCTAATAGCTAAAAGGATACTGTTTTCACACAGTCCTTGTGCTTGGTGAGCACAGTACTTAATCAAAGAGTAGGAAATATGCTGCATTTCTCTGGCTGCCACTACTTACCTGGCAAAACAACAACAAAAAAAGGACGCTCCTGGAGCATCTTTGCTTGTTCTAATGGCACTGACCCACTTAAAAGATAGAAAATCACCAGGATGATTCATAAAGTCTGAGATTCTTAGGGTTTAAAATACACTCACAATCTGCTGCCTTGAATTTTAGCTTCGGCTTAGTTTTCTGAAATTTTCTGACAGCCAGCCTTGTCACACCACAATAAATTTAATCTTAGCCTTCGCCCTTAGATATAAAGACATTTATGTTGCAAATATGAAAGGAGATTTAAGCAGGGAAAAGGCCAAGTTAATTACCAAACATTCAAGATGTTGTGCATCTAGTGAAAACAGACTTGAAAAAGAGGGGAAAAAAGAAAGCTATGCTGCACATAATGCAAATTTTTTAAGGAATGGATAGAAAACATATTTGTATTCATACAGTGTGGCAGGTTTGAAAGTGACAATGATGACATAAGAAGAAAATATAGATTTTGATAAGCTAGAAAAAGATTACCACAAACTCCTTTATTTTCTACCAATGAGGATTTCTCAAAAACAGAGGCTGCAGATCTTCAGTTAAGCTAAACAGCTAATACAACTATAAATCACTGCTTTGACCTCATAAGGTTTGACCTCAAAATTAAAAGGTGGGGCCTTTAATAAAGAAAACACATTCAACCATAATTATGAAAACTATAGTCAAGAAGAAAAGTGTTACACTCCTGCTTCATTCTGGCAAGGTGCAATGACTTTCACAGGAATTATATATGCAAACAACCATGACTAAAGTCATGTAAATGAGTAAACCAAATTCATATACAGTAACATCCTCTTTCATGAAAAGTTAAAGAGCTGAAGGTACTGCTCACATGAATGCAGCCACTTGTACATTTACGTATTTGGAAAAAAAAAAAATAGGGCTTTTTTTATCAGCAGCTATCTTTGCTAATATGCTCTTCCATAGATGGGAGATTTCTTTTCCTGTATTTCATAAAGTGATCCTTTTTTCCCTTTAAGTAATGAAACATTCTAGGAATCAATAATAATAAATCTTTCCTGTCTCTATAAGTTAATTTCAAAAAAGGCATTTGGCTAGTCCTGTCTTAGTTAAGGGATGGAGATCATGGGAAGGAAATCAGTTTTATATATGCTATAGATTTATAACATACACCTAAGCTATAGATACATTTCATAAGCATGTCTGAACTTTATTTGTCTAAAACTTGAGTTTGCAGCTTGCTTTCTAATACATTGGAGTTGCTCCTAGTGCAGCCACAGAAATGGGATGAGATGAGAGCAGTTTAGGAACACTCCCAATACATCCATACTATATAATTTATACCAGAACCTCAGTACAAAAGACTGATGCAAGTTTCTTTTGGGTATGTTAGACTTAGAACAGAGAGGAACCTTACTTACCTCTTCTGCATGAATACCACAAAGCTTGTTTCCTGACAAGAGCTTGTTTTTGAGGCTTTTGTTCTTAGAGGGGAAAAAAAAGAGAGGTTTTTTTTTTTACTGAAAGTTACTGAAATATTAAGGGGACCTTTAAATATTTGATAATACTGATTTTATTTTATAAATGGATAACACCTTCAAGTCACCAGCAAAGACACAGATAAAAGACAAGACAGATGCATCACGACACAACATCCTCTCTGACAGAATTCTAAAAGGCTGTAACTTTGCATTAAAACCTTCTTTCACAGGAACAGGACTTCTAAAATGCTCTAGCAACTGAAAGAAATTTAGATTGCATATGCTGAGGTAAAAAAGGAAAGATAAAAAAATCCTAATTCTTACCTGGTGTCACCTGCATAGCTCAATGTTATTTTCAGTTAATCATTATAACAGTTAAGTAATAGGCCAAGATCTTATCACTTAACTTGATTAAATTCATCGGATCATTTTTTTCCTAAATTTCATAATTTAAAACTGCAAGTAATCAAAAACTTGAGAAGATTAGCTACCCAACAGCATTTTGCCAACTCAATATGCTTTTGTATGTAAGAGTTTTAAAGGCATTTCTTTTCATTTTCAGGGAAAATAATAAGCCTTGATAAAATGAATTTGCAGTCGTCTGGTAATTCTTTCTGTATTCACATAATCCCACAACTGAGAGTCAAGGATAAAGAGTTCTCTGCAGTGAGAACATCTTTCAAAACCATTCAGAAATATATGTACTTGATAAACAGGCCTTCAAGTGCTGGACAAAATGGGCTTACACTAGAAAGAACTAAAAGAACACCACAACCAGCTTCTCCTGTGTTAACAGTCCAAACACACATACTGAAACCTGGCCCACCACACTTCAGACAAATGTATTCACCACTGAACAGCAATGACTTTTTTGAGCATTGTGCACAAGAACAAGCTGGCACTAGGGGAAAAAAAAAAAAAAAAAAAAAAAAGGTAATTCCACCTAGTTCAGTTTTAGGTCCACACACCACTGAAACACTGGAAGCTTTATTTTCAGAATTAGAAGCTTGGAGGGTTTTTTTAAGAAAAACTTTCTCAGTAAAGAGAATGTAAATCAAATAAAATTCCATTTTAAACCTTTGTACAACATTTCAGATGTTTCACTGCTGTGCACTGATATGTTGCAAAACCAGTTAATCTTTTTGAGTTGTCTGACATGGGCACCCACAGTTCTGTAATGTAACGGAAAGGAATTGGGATGTTAATCTGAATGATACAAAACCCAGATCCTGCCTCATGAAAAGTGGTTTGCAAAGAGCTGGGTGTGTGGGGAGAGAGAACAGATGTTGCTCCCATAAGTCTTGTAGTTGATTACTTTTTGTTCTGTATGTGAAAACGATGCAGTAGCTCATCACAGAGCACCACCTCACTGTGCTAACCACTGCAGAAATACAGAACAGGACAACTGGTTCGGCACAAAGGGAATTAGGTAACAGCTCCAAGATGAGCAAAATAAAACCAAACAGAAACCAAAGAGGTGAATCACACCACCCAGCACAGCTATTGCTCACCAGGGGTACATAAAAGAGCCATGTTTTACAGGGATCACATGGTAGATGTGATTGGTTTCACACAAATGAGCAGCATCACCTCTTGGGGTGATGGCCAAACAAATGTGCCAACAGCACTGCTTCATCAGGGAATGACAATTAATTAACCCAGGCAGTCAAGGCATCACTTTGTTTTGGTTAACTACCTTCATTACCCTCCAGTGCCCCTACAGCCTGGTAATGATTGGTTTAGGTAACAGACTCTATGCATATTTCAGAACCAAAGTAAGGATGAGTTGTAATCCTTATATTTTGCCTCATTTATCTTCCTTTTGCCAAGAATAAACTACTATAAGAAATACTTCTATTAATACATTAACCATTTGCAGTGGACTTCTGCACATGCTCTTTTGAGAAGACCCTGCAGTCACCCAGAAGGTGAAGAATGTAATGCCAACCACCTTGACGAGACACACATTGTATTAGATAGTTGTTACAGTTTCTGCATTTGGTGCCAAAGTTGCCTGGCAAAAGAACATAGCTCAAGAAGTTATTCGAAACCAGAACGTGGTGAAAATATTTTGAGTTAGGAGATAGACTCCGTTTTGGAGATTTATCTATATTTAACAGGGCTTACCAATCCTATCTCATTATACAGGCTATTAGCAAACAGAACAGAAAACAAGGTTAACAGATTGTAGGCAAAATAGTCATGATTTAATCTGCACTTAATGTTTTTAGAAATTTGAGCAAGCATTAGAGTTTACAATCATTGAGACCATAATGAGGAGCTTGTCAGAAGTAGATGATAAATCCTTGCTTACAATTTGTTCTATTTTATGTTACTTTGCAAATCACGTGTCACTATTAAAAACGGCTTTATGTTCTGATAAACAGTGGTAGTTTTCTATAACAGAATGTGCAGTATACCTGTAAAAACATGTGAAATCTAACAGAGCCTAGTTTGATCAGCATTCTGAATTAAATGTTGCCAAGTAAGAGTCTGATCAGGTACCGGTTCTGTGAGTTTGCTAGAAAAGGGCTATGCAGAATCAGATCAATTAATCAATTAATTTTTTGAGTCAGAAATGGTTATTGAGTCAGGACAGAAGTTCTGACTTCTAAGTCTTAGATAAAGATTCAAGACAATGCTTCTTATTTTCCTACCAAGCATCCCTCAAGGAACAACAAATAAGTTTAACTAGAATTTTATGAAGTTATTATTTCAAATATTTTATTTGTTATGAAGAGTTTCACAGGAAAAGCTCTTGGATATTTCAAGTTTAAAACCCAATAAAAGTTTAAAGAATTAATTACTTATCTGTAAACATGTCTTTTATAGTCACCTTTAAAATGGTAGAGAATAATTATTTTAGCCTTTTAGATTTAGAGAAAGGATACCATTATATTCCAACTAAATAGATATTTTGACGTATTTGAGCATCTTAGAAAGCTTACAGCAAAGACTGTTAGCTGGAGTGTTTGCATGTAATCAGTCATGCCATTAAGTTACTACAGTATTCAGCTCTAAACTTAATAAATCTAGTTCATTTGCAGCAGTAGTTTCAGGACCCCCTAAATCCAGGTGCAGAAAACTGCTGTCACTGGTTGCCATGCTCAAGAATTCTGTTGTTTCTTCCTATGCAGTAGATTCTTACTGTCCTGGTACCTACACTCAAGAAATAGTACCTCGGTACAACATCTCTTCTGTGCACTCCAAACAAGGGAGGATTCTCAATGACAACTTGTCAGATCTGTTAATGCATCCTTCACAGAACTTCTACACTGAAAACAGAAACTTTTCTGCCTCACTCTTAAATAGATTTGTCAGTCAGTTCCTTGTCATATTTTCCTGTTCTTTCCTCTTAAACTGGCATCACTTCATTGTATTTTTGGGGTGTTCTGATATTGTTTTCACGATATGAGATGAGACAAGCTGAAATAATTATATGAACATTGACAGTAACTGTAAATTTTGGTTGCTTAAAAGATCTCTTACTGATACAAAAGCACATCAAAGCCACTGCCGTGCCATGGCTTCTTTGCCAGTGTGCCTGCAAGGAACCTGCAAGGAAGAAAACCACCCAAACCTTTGCTTGCTAACTAGAAGGATATATATTACTTTTTCTTCCTGACTTGGGAAAACAATCCCTTCACTTCTGCCATCTTTTGACAGTTGTAGTTTTAGTTTCTTTTTTTGCGAACTCATTTTATTAAAAGTATTAATTAAAAAGCGATATATTGTATTTGTCATAATATCCCCTCCTCGTTTATCACACGCAATAAATACCTCATGCAGAAAGAGTCACAGTTTATAGACATTGTTAAATGTGACAAACTATCCCTGGGTCCAGTTTAAAGGGTTTTATCATCATTGTAAATCTGAAGTTATGGGAATTCACATTTGTCTGATGTATTATATATTCAACTAACAGAAGGGTAAAACTATACCATTGATGTAAAAGGCACAATTTTTCAGGTGTCATTTTGTGAAGTTAGGATATCTTGACCTCTGGTCACTCAGATGAGTGCTTTAATACTTTTATGTTTATGTTTCATAATTTGAAACACTGCTTTCTGAAACAGCATCAGATCTCAACCCAGGATGAACAAATACAATGTAATCACCAGCAGGACAAAACAATTTAGTTTGCCTGCTAGCCTTTGAAAGCACGAGGACCCCAAAATATGTTCAAGGAAAGAAAATAACTTTCTCCCTCAGAAAAAAATGATTCTCAGCAATCAACTTCAATTCAGACATTTTATCTGAGGTCTGACAGCAGTTATTTGTTGTATACAAGATAAATTGGGCTCTGCCTCCCCTTGCTGAATAGCACAAATCAAACCATGTTGAGCCCCTGCTCATCATCGGCACATTTCTCTCTTATGGGCATCCTCTTAAAACAAACCAAAACAAAGACAAGAATGAAAACCCCTGGACTCTGCTGAGCAGGATTGTCAGGGCCAAGTGCCAAGATGAACTCTTTTCCATCTCCTGTTGAACCAAATCAGTTCACTGCACCCTCAGGTAGGAAATCAGGAGACATCAGCAGACCAAAATCAAATATCTGGACTTATCTGATATCAAAATGTATTGGTACCCATTTTGCTTTGTATTTCACCATGATGAAAAATGTTTTATATTGTGTGCAACTACTGTAATCCCAGCAGGACTGGCTCAACCTTTCATCTTTCTGAGACAGATAAATTGAGTTTCCTGCATTCAGAGGTTGTTCAGGTAAGACCTTAAGAACTGCAGTTCTACCTTGCCCTCATGCTCAGCAAAGACACTGTGACTTTTGTAAGAGCAGTTTGCTTTGATATTCTTGAGAATGTTTGAATCCCTTTTCCCCAAAGGTTTTGCAGTGGTTAAGGGTGCCAAACAGCTGAAGGATTCTTCCCCATCAGTGTATTTTGGCACTGATGATGCATACATGAAATGCACAATTTGCAGATCTATCTGGATATAAACTAAGGCAGCACCGTTGTCCTAGCTCTGAATTCCTGGGAAAA